GAGTGGAAGACGTATTCTTTATTTAAAAAAAATAAAAATCAGAAAAGGGAGCTACTTAAATTTAAGATCCTACTTAGCCATTAAGAGCAGATATCAACTTTGTTTAGATTCTGAAATGTATGAGCTTTACTAAATTTCTTTTTCAACACACCAGTTGACACTAAGCCTTCTTGCTGCATACAACTGCAGTTTTAGCAGTGCAAAGCAACCAACACTTAAAAAAATGTCAAGGTGTTACATGAAGAGTATGAATAAGAAATATTACCAACTCCTGAAGCATCTTCCACCATAGGATTTATTTCTATCATGGTAGCATCGTATTTCATAAAGAGATTGTATAATTTGATCATATTTTCAGCTGCTTCATCCACCAGATTAGAAGGAAATCCCATTTTCTGTGCAAGCTGAAAGTAAAAGATTGGTTATCAGTTAACTCATGTTAGGGTGAGCTATTATTTCAGTGTCAATTGAATTTGTAGATGTATAACCTGTTCTGTCTTCCCAAGAAAAAAAAAAGTAACTCTTGGGTTTGAAAAGATTGTTTTCAATACACTGCAAAACACTGCACTTATCCTAAAAGAGAGCTAGTAAAAATTCACCATCATATGTCTTTACAAAGCTGTATACAAGCTAAAGTACTGTCATTCAGTCAGATTTACATTGACTGTCACCTGAAAATACTTAAATATCTAGTCCAAATTTGTTTCAAAAAGAGTTTAAGACAAATCAGCAGGTTGAATGCACACGCACTTCACAGAATTTAGAAGCAACCCTCCCACCCTCGCTAATGTGTACTTTCCCACATTAACAATTACCCTAACAGCTTGCTCCTTTTTTATGCCTTCTATTATATCAATGGGCTCCTTAATTATCGCCTCAGGATTCTCTGCAGCAACATCTTCAATATTAACACCACCCTGAGAACTGCCTATCAGCACAGGACCCTAGAACAGAAAGGGAAAAAAAAGCATCAGTAATTTTATACCACACAATTGAAACTTAGTTCTTCCCATAAGATACCTCATAGCAATAAAACCTTGTGGGCTGAATTTATTTGGACATTTTACTTATGCTCTGAGGGGAATGTAGCTGTCTACTCAATACATCTATGTAGAAATAATACTTTTAGTAATACTTTCCAAATGTTAAGGCGTATGTTGGGCCAATTTCCTTTAACAGGGAAAACTTTCCTTTGTATACACTGTAGCAACAGAGCAATTAACACAGACATTCTAGTTTCAAATTCTGATAGAAAGATTCAACTTTGATATGCATGCTATCTTCAAGGTTGTCACTAGGAAAAGAACAACCTCCTCATCTCCACCTTCTCCACTCACATACAGATCAAATGCCAAGCACTCATTTATTAATTCTGCCATGTTCCAACTCCAAGGACAAATGTAGGTCTGCTGAACTACTGCAAACCTGTTGAGTAGGATCACCACATTTGTGACTATAGCCATCACTGAAAGTGAGTCATGGAGTTATGACAAAACAGCACTCAATTATTCCATAATAACAGAAATGAGGAAACCAGAATTGACTGCATTTGCAGCACAGGTTTGTTTTTTTTTTAAAGCTGTCTAAATCTCAACAAAAGCATCAAGGACTCATTACCACAGAACCTGTTGAGTAGGATCACCACATTTGTGACTATAGCCATCACTGAAAGTGAGTCATGGAGTTATGACAAAACAGCACTCAATTATTCCATAATAACAGAAATGAGGAAACCAGAATTGACTGCATTTGCAGCACAGGTTTGTTTTTTTTTTAAAGCTGTCTAAATCTCAACAAAAGCATCAAGGACTCATTACCACAGAACCTAAAAACTTCTGCCCATGGGAACAGTCCTCCAGTTCACAGTAAAGACACAGTCACTTGTATCACCCCAGCCTACCTTCCCTTATCACCACCCATGCATTGTTTATGACCATGGGGTACTAAGGCAGCATTTCTTATCAGCAGAGGTCTCAAACATTAAACAGCCTTATGACTGTTGACAAATAATCACAGAAAACGTAACCCTGGTTCAGAGAACATGCCTAATAATCACACCACTCCCTTCCCATTACCATCTTTCCAAACAGAAATATATAGATGGCAAATTATCCTGCATCTAACAGCAAGGTTCAACGGAATGAACATTTCTGGATATTCGTATCTTGACCTGTCAGGAAGCTACAAACACATCATAAAATAATCGGCATTATACAGAATTGACCAAAGTGAACAGTTTCACTTAAAACGTAAGTCCCTATTGGTGAGTAACATCTAATACACCAAGTTCCAGTTTCAGCTGATTACTTTAGTCTTACCCCTCCACCTAGAGGAAGAGATTTGCAACAACAATCATGTATAAACACTGTGCTACTCAACCTGCACACTTCCTTCTTTTGAAAGGCATTTCCTCATCATAAGCATCCTATACAAGTTACAGAAATCACAAGCACATGTAAAAACATGACTTAAAGTCAGCAGTAACAACAAAGCACATCCCTATCAAAATGCAGCACAGTATGCTCAATATATGCTAGATAATAAGATGTATTTTTATACAAGAGCAAGAACAAGTCAGGAAATAATGTTTCCCTTCTTTATCTAATTTGCTTAAATCAGTTACAGCAAATTTTATTTCCATAAGGATCCTTGCTTATTGCTTACACTGTTTTAAGGGTCTAAAATGTGTTCATTTACAATATTTTAATGCCACCTTGTGGTGAATCTAGGCTGCATACTGTAACATTTCAATCTTCCCTGCTCTATCACAGATTACATCAGAATGTAGATGCCCAAGTCACACAATGTACTAAAATCCAACATTTATATTTTCCTATCAGAAAGAACACTACAGAGGAAGAGTAAGGAACAAATATTGCTACTGAAAAAAATAGTAAGCTAGTTTCCTCATTCCTCCATAGAAAATGATTTCATGCTCATGCCAAAGATACTCATCTAATCACCAAAAGCAATGCCTCTGCAAACTCTTCTGAGCTTCAGAAAATTAAGTTCCAAGATCTGTTTTACCCTAGCTTTGTTGAAGTTATTTAGCAATTCATGCTCTAGGCTCCATAACAGAACACCTGTTTGTAAGAAAATACTGACATACTTCAGTAACCAGGTTTGAATTGCAGCCCAAAAAACTACACACCCACACAGACAGCCCATACTAGTGGAAAAGACTATGGCTTTCATTTTCCTGAAAGTTCTGAAGACAGCACTGGCATGAGAAAGCTACCAGCACTCTGAAAATCAAGGGACACACCTGTGCACCTCTAGGAACCTCCATGCATTAGAGAAAAGGATGTTTGACTTATCCAGGACCATTTGCCCTCCCACAACACTTTTACTTATCTTGCTCCTGACACTCTAAAATAGTGTGTATGTGTACATGCCCACACATAGCTGTATTTTTAAACTAAATTCTAGTACTGATAGATAGATGGCAGATATAGGCATCTGACAGACAAATGCAAACTAAAAGCAAAATTAAAATAATCTCTCATTCCACCCATCTCCCCTTCAGCCATGTCACTCTGAATTTCAGCTGGGGCTACCAATACTCACTTATTGTTCTGTATATTTTAATTGTAGCATAACATCTTCAAAGCATTTCAAAACTAAGGCAATCATATAGTCAGAGATACCAGGAAACAAAATTTAGCTCATGTATACTTCTGATTTTCAAAAGCAAGTGACCAGTAAACAGTTTTGTTGATTTTTAAAAAAAAAAATTTCAGCTATAACAAATTAGTTAACTAACTTCTATTTCTAATATTACTCACTTGAAAAGACCTTTCCATTGTTATTGCAAAATAGTATTCTCTCCTGGGATATCTGCGTTCACAGATAAATACTTGATTGCATATCCTGCCTTTTTCTCCTGTCTGCTTGGTAAACAACTTCTTTCCAATCATTTTGGAGGAGATATCTTTTGCTTCTTCTGGACTAGAATAAAAGAAGCTCAGAATGTGACAAAGATACTGCTGGAAAAATAGAAGTAGCATTAAAAACTCTTATTCGGCTTTAAAGAAAGCAACAAGGTCAATTCATAATGTGAAACTTGTAAGTTTTTCCACTTGATTGGATAATTTAGAAACAACTTACGAAAAAACTATTTTCACTCCTCCTTTGAGGCCACCTTCAAATGTTCCTTTTCCTCTACCACCAGCTAAAACCTGTGCTTTTACCACAAGATCCTTTGAACCTAGAACAAAAGAAAACCCAAAAATTTGTCATCTGTGACTATGAAAACAAATTGCCCCAGGTAGAATAATAAAGGATGTTTTAGTTTTATCCCCCCTTCTCCAACCCCACCATTCAAAACACACATACGCAAACCAAAGACTGTATTGTAACTCACACAGATTTTTCCAAAAGTCTCGAATAATCCACAAATTGCAGTTTTAGGCTGTTCTGTGAACAAACCTCAGTGAGTTAGTATCCAAAAGTGTTGGTACTTTGAGTGTTCTGCTGTATCTTTAGTACGTTTGAACCACAAGATTAAGCATCTGGTAAGAAATGGTTAGTATCTCACAGACTATTAACAAGATGAAACTGAGTATCAGACACACCATAATCCAAGATTTTCCTCAATCAAGTACAAATACCCTATATGTGTAAGCACTATCTTCCCAGCAATATGTAACTATAGCACTTACCCAAGTCACCTTGAAGGTCCACTATGGCTTCCATTGAGCAGAGCACTGATACATAAATTTGAGTGCTTTGCAGAAGTCAGAGGCCTAAACAAATCCACTATTTTTCCCAGAGTAGGCATAGTCAGCTCTTTAGTTGGCTTTAACTGTTTAAAAATCCTCTACAAAATATTCTTCTAGGTAGGGGAGACTCTTCATTTGGGTTTAAATGAAGCAGGAAAATATAATGAAAATTAACTGGGATATTATGAAGTGTCATTGAAAGAAAAAAAGCAAAGGAAAAAAGTTCATCAAGTCATTTAAGGTGATAAAGGAAGAAAAAGTCCTGAGTTACTATTATTCAAGTTCACTTACCCAGAGTACAGAGAACAGTGAGACTGCAAGATGTTAAGAGCTGCCCCATTCACATTTGTTCAGCACATCCTATCTTTCCTCATGCCACCATTAGCTGAGCCACTCTGGTCTTTCCAAGCAAAAAAAGAACTTGCTGTTCTCTTGGATGTTAAAAGGGAACAATGGAAATGCCTAAGAAAAATTACAGTACTCAAGGAAAACTAGCTACTACGCATATGAGGAAGATGACGGCAGACACAAAGGAGGTGCACTGATTCCTATTTTGACCTGTGTCCTGCCTGGACAGGCAAAATCAAACTTGGATAATATCACAAGCTGGGATGGCTATAAGCAAAGGAAATACTCAAATAACTCCTCCCAACTAGCCACTTGTTGATTTTACTTCTTCAATGTCCACCTAACAGAAGATCTCTGAAGTCACAACTGATTTCAAAGTCATTTTGCACAAGAAGCATGAAGGTTATAAATACACAAGTATATGCTGATTTACTACAGTCTGTGACTCTAATATTTAATTCAGTTCCGAAGATAACTACTTTTCATAGCTACTAAGTCCTGGTAATCAAGATAAAATAGTTTATAGCAGCCATACAAGACCTAACTTTTATGCAATTAGTTCAAGTACAAAGCTTGGTTTAGGAAACAAAGTCCCATGTATGAATAAGATTAGAAGTAGTAGCTTCATGGATAAATGAAGCCATGTACTTAAATAGGCAAGTTTAAACATAAAGTTCCATACCTTTGAAAACAATTTACCCTGTATGTACATGCAAACAAGGAACGCGACTTCCCAGTGTTAGCATAAAAGAGAGGAAAATACTTTCTTATATGTAAAGAGACTGAAAAATAAACACCACCTCACACTTGTTCCCTTGCTCACAGAGGATCCACCTGGGCTCCTTCACAAGGATTGAAAGAGACTCAGATATTTAAGATCTAATATACTTACAGCATTCTTTTATTTTGAGCTTTCTATGGAAGTTTTATATCTGACAATGTTTCAGAAGTGATATACTTAGCAATCAAGACTAAGAGATTTAACCTACAGTCCACTAGTTAAGTTCAGAAGAGGGTTGTATTTCTCCACCTTACTTTTAATATCCTACAGAAAGTCTGGGAGATAAAAAACTGCTACTACAGGGAAGTTTTCAGGAAAATCATGAAATTCACCACGGGCACCTTCTTTGTAGCAATTATTCCTCCCAGCAATAAAGATCAGAATCTGAGCAAGTCACAACTAAAGGTCTGGTAGGATCTCAGCTGGAACCTCACATTTAGCTCTGGGCATAAAAGTAATTTTCAGTGGGAAAGACTGGTTACTAGGATGAGCATTGAAATTATGACATTCCCTTACAAAATGGGATTAAATGAGATTAGCATTTCTTTAAATCTATCAAAGGGCAAGAAAGTAAGAACATGATTACGGTCATTAGTCATACCCGTGAGGGACAGAGCAAGAACACATGTACATCATACACTCTGCTTTCTGCTCTACACCAGCCAAAAACAAAAGCCACCTAACCAAGGAAAGTCAGTTTTAAAAAGGTGCAAGAAAAAGACACTTCCTTACACAACAGATAATGAAGTCTGCCAGGAGACACAGATGAAGAATAGAAGTCAAAAGGAACAGGGCAGATGTGTTTCCTCTAACATTTATAAAACAATAAATATGAATGCTGAAGGGAAATGAGGGCTAATGGACTGTAGAAAATAGGCAGGCTAACAGTCATCCTAAATAATATGTTCTTTGGCAGAGTATTGGGCTAAATGCACCACTGCCCTGATCCCACAGGATACTTCATAAGAATTTAATTACTATTCATTATTACACTTTGTCAACATAGAGATACCTGAAAAACAAAGTGTGAGAAAAACAACTTTAAACTTTTCACAATGAGTTTTGGCCATAACGTCATTGGACTATCTCTTATGCAACAGAATGCAACACTTGTGGCATTAAATGAGCAGGATATTAATGATTTGTAATTTGTTTTCCTACAGCACTGCAAGGAAACTAGCTGCTTGATTGCATAAACACAGAACACTCCAAGGGTTATTTGGCCAGCTATGTTTACAAGCAATTAACCTGCACAGACATACCTGAAACAAAATTTAGGGTAACATGCCCCAGGAAAACCTTAACTTAACCCATCATGCAGAAAATTTATTGTTCATCAACAGTTTTTCCCCACAGCCCCTATTTAAAATGACCTAAAATGAGAGGACAGAAATGTTTGGTCACACACCTCATCTGCAGTGCTACAGCTGCAGCACTGTCACACAATCTGACACAACAGAAAACTGCTGATATGCAGCAACCCAAGAAAAAAAATTTGGAAACCAGCAGCTACCACAGTTCTCTACTCAGTATCAACAGCTGTGCACCTGTGTCTTGCTTACATGGCTTTGAAATACTGCCTGGCTTTTGTTTCAATGAAAAATAGCAGTTTCTGCCCTGGAGCAGGTACCCACACACAAAGCCAGGACAGTTTATGCCAGCAAACACTACACCACAGCAGTCCTATCCTCAGTTTTTCACTCCACCTCCTCTATTGTGCCAGCTCAACCATTTGCACGCTCATGCCTTGAAGCCTATCAGAGTGATTCCCTGAAGGCAAGAGCTAACCCCACAGACACGACTTTTACAGACTTGTGCACAGTGTGACAAGCACAAGCACAGGGACACTGAAGTGAGCAGGACTTCTGCTTTCAGTAGCAGTAACAAACTGTAAGGCCTTAACACAAGCCCCTAGAACATCAGTACAGCTAATGTCTCAGGTAAGCAAGACACAGGCCACTGCACAAATATCAGAACAAGCACTGCATTTCCATCTTAGTGGCATTAGCACTATGAATACATATAATTAAAACAGCTTGAGAAAAATCAGGAAGTGTTGAGAAAATTAAGAGTAGATACCAAGGAGAACAGGTCTATGAAATCAGCAGAACACTGACTTAACATTAATCTGTTCAGGACAACAAAAATCTATACATTACAGGTTTCACCTTCAACAATCATTTATTAACTAGACAGTGAAAGTGTTATACAGCCAAGAAACAACACAATCTTCATTTCTATCAGTACTGGTATTTATTTCTTGGAAGGAATAATTTCTGATTCCATAACATAAGCTTTTAAACTGGGAGAAAGGTCTCTTCCTGCTTGCACACATGCATTGATCTATATAAACTACAATCTCCTAATAACCTTACTAAGAGGCAAGAAGGTTTGTCGTTCCATTGTATCTCTGAAGTTTTCTGTGCAAGTAGAGTGTCTGATGATTAGGACAAACTTCATTAAAAGGTTCTGCTTTATGGGTTTCCATTCTGACTTTTGTCCAACTTTTGTCCACATTAACTGCCACTTCTCTGCTCAATACTAACTGTAGCAGCAGTACTGCTCTCCACATTACAGACACCTTCATGATAACTATGCAAACCTAATCTGTTCTGACAAGACAGACAACAACAGTAAAAGGCAGTGACAAGTTAGACAGTCAAGTGCCAATCAAGCTCTCAACTACCATTCAACTGCAAACTTATCCTGGGAGAGAGACAGAGACCCATGAGTTTTGCCTCAGTTTTTTCTGCAGGAAAAATCCCTCTCCATTTATAACACAAGCTAATATTTTTCTTGTGACACAGATATAGTTAAAACAATATAGCTGTATTTACTGGCATTAGGAAGGGAAAGGAGGGGCTTGTAACTAACGTGTTATCCAGAGATGTGTCAGCATAAATAATATGCTGACCCTAACTCTGTCAACACAGGCAGAGAATCTCTTCGGAGTATACTGTCTGTGTTTGCTAGTAAGTACAGTTATTTAGAATTTAACTCAAAATTACATTTCTCCAGCATTTGAAACTTTGAGTGTTAGAAGACTCACTGCATTGTAAATCAAAAGTATGACTGAAATAATAATGTATCTTCATACTTTCACTGAAAGGACAACATCAGTCAGAAGAGCGAATAAGATGTTTTGCTCTTACAAAATATTTTCTACACAAACACTTTCTGACATCAATCAACTGCACTGAGGTTGCCATCAGCTCACAAGACAGGTTTTGGCAACAGCTTAAGTCAAGCGATTAAAATGCAGAAGTCAAAATCTGAATCTGCTGGTTAGACAAGTTTATTTTAATTATTGAATTATCACCAACATGTTTAGTATTTTAACTTCAAAGGAGGGAAGTATTACAGAAGCAAAGGCTCAAGCAAAATGTAAGCTTCAGATGCCAAAAAAGTAGTATTTGCCAGAATTTAAGTAAATGTTTGGTTTCTAGACTACTACTGCTGGTTATCTAGAGATTTTGACCAAGTAAGTAGGAACAAAATTGCATGGTTTTTTTACACTTGAGGTATCTCTGCACGAGTTTACCACCTTAGATCACCATCCATGTCCTACAGCATCTGAGTAAATGCTCTGGAGTTTCAGACTCTATTATAGACAACCTAAAAGACATCAGATAACATAGTCAAGCAGAAACTGACCAAAAGGAAAAACTGGTAAAGGAAAAACAGCCAAAAATACTAGGAACAAAACCTAGACCTATGACGCAGAACAAACAAAAAAACCCAAAAACTTAAAGACTACCAAAGAAAGTGTGGCATGAGCTAAGAAAAAACACCCCAGCTTTAGTGCCACAGTGTCTGCAATACCTTTCTTCTGAAGGACTAATAAAAAAAGTTAGCACTTCACCTAAGAAAGTCATTGCACATATTGTACTGAACTTTGGTTTCTGACTAAATCAAGCCCGAGATCAAAAGTTCTATTTATAAATCTACCCAGGCTTCCACTTTACTTTTTTTGGCTTATTTTTTTTAACAGATACAGGTTTTATGTTTAAGCAATAGACAGGAAAAATAAATAACATTGAAAAGAACTTAAAAGGTCTGAAAAGAAACATCTATTAATCACGGAACGGTCGGCAGGAATACAGCCAAGCCAATTGCTGGAGTCATTCTGTAGAAAGCATACCAAAAAAGAACATTCTTTATATACCACACGGATACGGAGCTGCACTAAATCTCTCAAACTCCAATAACAAAATCAGCAGCAGATTCCATTGCTTTCAGTCTCCTTTCAAGAACTCTGGTGTGGAAAGGCAAAATAAGTTTCTCAACACCTCCTATTCTGTACATCTTTATGTTTTACTAAAATTTGACAGTCTGCCATGAACATAAAGCTGTGGGATTCAACACCTGAAAATCCAACAAAACTACTGGTACACAAAAGCAGTTTCAAGATATTCATAATTTCAGAAGTCTTACTACTCAAATCAACATGAGCAGAAGTCCATGCTATAAAAGAAAAGCAGGCTTTGCTACAGGCATATAGTATGTCATTCCCTTCCACACAACTTTTACCAGAGGAAGGTGTCAGGAAGCATAAAACCTCAGTTACAGCAATACATACACTTTCACAGGTGCTGCCTTAACAACAATTTTATACACTTCCAATAGTGTGTTCTGCTGAGCTATCTGCTGTCACACTGATGAACCATCTGTTCTTAAGGAAATCGTCTTCAGGTTCATTAGTCATGTTCTCGATAACAAATGCCTATCACCTTCTAAATCAGCACTGGTCACAGGGCTAGCTGGAATGCACACGCGGCTGAGACTAAACCGTAAACTTCGAGGCAATCATCACGACATGCTGGAGCCTCTTATCAGCACTCTGGAACAGAACTTAATCAGCTCACTTTCTCAAAATTCAAGCGAGATGCTCATGCAGCACTGATTTAGCTACAGACACAGCTAAACTATGACACTACCTGTAAAGGAGAAGTTTGTACTTGTAATACACTGGGATAAAAAGCCATTTCTAAGTGAAGTGAGGTATTTGTAAAAGGAAAAAAATCCGATGCCAAACTCAACCTTTAGTCAGAAATCTGCTCTGTGTAAATTTACCAGGAGTATATGGATCAGCACTAGGAAACAGAGCAAAGAGTATTGCCAATGATCTTTGTAATGGTCTAGAAAATATTTGAATAACTAATTTAACACATAAAAAGAAAAAAAATAATTGTCGATCCACCAGCAACTACTCTTACACAACAAAAATAAACAATGAGCAGGTGGACAAAAAAAGTGATTTTTTTCACTCTGCTAGAGATTTGGTCTGTTTGGCTTGTGGGGTTTTGTTTGATTATTTTTTTAAGTACACACGAAATGAAAACTAGTGGGGAAATGGCTACAAGCCCCTTCAGTGTGTGTTCTCCTTTTGGGAAGTCTTCCCTTCCTCATCTCAAGTACCCCAGAAAGCCATAGCATCAAATACACACCAACTTCAACAAAGTATTTGCCTGACAACCAGAAGCCTGGAATTCCTTTACTAAAGGATGCTGACCCATGCACTTCACAGCTTCATTTTTCTGATCCCCAAGAAATTGCACAGAGTCACATACTCCAGATAAGAGCCATACCTATGATGTAATGTGGATGACACAGAGCTCTAAATCAGCAGCCGGACAGACCCACTTTGCTACAGGAGGTCTCTCCAAACAAGGAACAAAACAAAGGAATCCTGACCTACAAGTTTCCTGGCTGTCAATTAAATAGCCATAGGCAAACGTTGTCTCATTTGCCACCAGCAATATCTGTGCATCTACTGAAGCAGAGCAAAGGGCTATGCCTGATTTGAGGAATTTTGATCATGCTACAAGCTCACCCCTAACAGAAGTTGAGGGTCTGAATTTTAAAGAATTCTCAGAAGTATTTTAACATCTTTCTTAGTAATGAAATTATTATAATTTTTTTAGCATTTTCTCTCTAACGGAAACAAGATAAAGAAGGTAAGAAACCACCACCGGAACTTCTGGAGTATCAAATCCGAAGGAAAAGCAGCTTTTCAATGCCTTTCTACATTACAAAGCAGCATAACTTGCTCTAGAAGTTCTCTCTCTTTCAGATCTCATTTCTTCACCAAGCCAGGAATTTGGCAAACCACTACAAGCCATCAAAGTTCTCCCCTCCTGCATGAAGTAGCTGCATTCTGCCAGAAGACCACACTCACGTAAGAACAGGATTTTACTCTTCTTCTGCAGCCTAAAGGTAAGTATGCTTTGCATCTTCTGTTCTACATGAGATCTTGGAGTACAGAAGCCTTCCCCATCACCACCACTGAACCTCTCACACAGTATTTCCTCTAACTTTCCTTGAAAGCAAAAAGAAATCCAGGATTTGCAGAAACTAAAGTCTGTCACTCATCTCAAAGCAGCTTAGGTAATTATATTATTCTAGGCTAACACAGTTTATGCCTGACCTATTCCTTCTAAGCAAGACTCACAAGTTACAGGAGAAGTATCTGCAACATTTGGGAATGACGATGCTTGAAATAATATGTTCACAGCCTTTAATTAAAGTAGGATCAAGTCCTTGCCCAGTGGAGTTTCAGGGACAGAGCTTAGCTTCGTAAGATGAAATACACTACGGAGAGTGCCTTTAAAACCAGGTCACTTCACTGATTTTACTGTGTGCCTGTGCACTGAGCAATCTTAAGCATCGGAAAACTCCAAATTAAGAAGGTGTCAGCTCCAAAGCAAACCTGCAAGATGGTTGTTTCACATGAAAGGCTCTCTTAAAGAGAAGGTATATTCAGAACTTTAAGCAACGTCTTACCAGCAAAGACAGAAAAAGCAGTTACACCTTGTATCAAGCCCACACCTATTTGTGTATGCTCTCTTTAATATTATACCTATTTCTTTTGCTATTTTGTAAGCTTCATCTGGCGTCTTGGCAACTACTCCGTGTGGAACAGAAATGCCAGCCTCCTTCAACAGTGCCATGCTCAGGTACTCGTGGAGCGATAGCCTCCTCTGTGGCTGCTGCTGCACCTGAAATCCATGATTACTGAGTATTCCTGGACTTCCAGCAAGTACCTAAGGAGAAGAAAAAAAAGAAGGAAAACAAAAAGAAGAACATAACAGATGTGAAAAACTGCTCTCTTTGTTTAGATTAAAAGTCTGCAGGTTAAACAAGAACAGGTGAGCGCACCGAGGTAAACACCTGAACACTTAATCCTACCCTTGCACATCAGTCATTCTGGTATCTGAGTTTGTAAGGTTTCGTTGGGCAGCGGGAAAGAGCTGGAGAAGCTGCTGGCACTGACAAGGCCTGGCAGGCTTAAAACACCCTTGAGTGTTTCACATTTAAATGCTTTAAGGAAAACGCCTGCAAGGGAAAGAACCTTGAGGAATCCTGAAGAATTTCGTAACACAAAAACTAACAATAACAAAAGTAAAAAGTGTTTGCTGCGTATTTCACGCTCCACTATAAAGGAACAAGACCTTAACTCTATGAACACACAAAACAGCAAACTGACTGCATTCAGTTTATCCATGAACACAGATTAGCACCAAAATACTCATGATAAAAAGGACTACAAAACAAGCTTGGATACAAAACAAACTTTAGCATTTATTTTTAAGCATGTAGCATTGGCACAGGCAGCACAAAACCCAGTCTGTATTAGGAACTTTCTAACAGACTGAATTTTTAAGGCTTTGTTTCACTTTTTAAAGAGCAAGTAAACAGACAACACATGAGCTTTACTACTGCATTCCAAGCCAGCGAATCAACACGGCCGGCCTATTTCACCTCCAAAGGATTCCTCCTGCAAGCAGGAGGCCCTTTCCTTGGCACGAAACCCAAGGGAGAGGCGCTGAGTGACCCTCCGGGCCCGGGAGGCCGCTCGTAACACGAGAGGGGCACTGACAGCGACCTTCCCCCGAGCGGGGCAGGAGAAGAAAGCCACACCGAGCGCCTCACACCGCCGCTCTTCGCTTCCACCTCTCTCCAGCGCTGCCGCGGCCAAAAACAACCCGCGCCCTGGAAAGGCATTCACGGCAAACGACAGCAGAAGCTGGCGAGGCGTGGAAACAGAGTTTAAGCGGCACACAGCAGCCCCTCCAGCGAATAAAGCGACGACGAGAATGGAAACACTACGATTCCCAAGCAGGTTCGTGCAGGAGGGTGCTGAAAACGACGGAAAAGGGAACCACGCCGGCAAGACCTGCCAGAAGCCGG